TTAAATATGATTCTTCGTATAAAAATAAAGAAATGTTGTTTTTACTTGAACCTTTGTCATGAATGAACGTTCTCAAAAATGAAAAAAAAATAAACGAACCTTTTTTTTCTTTTTGTAACTTTTACATAGATTTTCTTCATTTCTGATTCTATTTCTTAATAGGCCAATCGCCCATTCTTCTTTCTTTGCAGTTTCATGTTTGCTTTAAGTTTTGTTAAACAGTGCAATAGCATCAAGTTTTTCTTTGACTCTCCATTGACATTGTTTGCGTTTCATAGATTTTTCTTGACAACTAACATCCATAATAGACGTTATGGATAAGCATTATCTGATGAGAATCATTCAATTCGTTAATGTCTAATGTGCTTAAAGGCAATAATGATGGCGATGAATCAGGACATTCGAAAGACGTATCATTATCATTGTCTTATTTGGATTCCGATTGAAGATATGTTGATATAGGCACTAACACATTTTCACATTCATTAGTGGTTGAAATAACTTCAATACTTGAATCTTCAACGTCACAAAAAAGTCCAAGATGTTGTTACTCCATATTTGATATATTCAGTAAATTTATAATATTTCTAATACAAATAAAATTTAATATTAATCGTAGAGTCAAGAACTCACTAGAGAGTACTAGGAAGAACATACATGATCCATACACAAAAGCAGAGAAAGAAAACGAACCTACTTGAACATACTAGGAAGAAAGTATATACACGATCATGCATGACAGCACAAACGAACGATATAGATGGGATTCATATATATGATGATGTTATAACAAAGATGGGACGAAATAGATGGTGCATGAGAGATGACGCCGCCTGATATAGTAAAATCTAATCACAAATTTTATTCATATTTAGTGTTGAGAAATTTCTTTATAACACCTTTAGAAAGAGATTCCCTATGTGTTTCAGTAGCTTTCTAGCTAGACCAACATTGTATTCGTTCGGGGATTAGAGAACACCTCGTTGTATACCTATTTTTCCTATGCAATGTGACTCATTTCAATCTACCTATTGCCGACAGACGCAGACGTCAGAATGCAGTTGAATGGCACATGCTCCTTGGTGAAAGAAAAATCCATGTGTGTCGCTGTGCAAGCCTATATTATACGACGTTAGAGAAAGAAAAAAAAACACGTGTTTCGATAGAGAGAACGATTCTATTATTCATTACATCCGTGTGTTTACTAGGAAGACGCAAAAAAACAATATATTCAAAATCATAGTGTTTCAACGAAATGATATTGCCAACAGATATTAGTGGGCAAGTTGTTAGCCGAACAACAACCAGATCCACAGTGATGACATCCACAGGCAGCATTGATTACGAACGTATTTGGAATGGTGAAAATGTGCCCAGAGAATTCTTCTGTCCGATTTGTTCGTGTTTACTATGGCAACCACGCTCCTGTGGATTGTGTCAGAATTTGTTTTGCGAAGCCTGCATTTCGAAGTGGCTCCAAATGAATAAAAGATGTCCATATGGATGTGAACGATACGAAGATAAACGTTGTTCACCGCAGATTCGATGTCTTTTGTCCAACATCTGGATTCGATGTCAAAGTTTTCAATACGGCTGTACTGCTGTACTTTCTTATGACACATTAGAGGCGCATCAAACAAATCAATGTGCATATCCTTCTACTCGATGTCAATATTGCGAAAGCGTTATGCTAGTGAGTGCAATTGCAGCTCATGAACAAGAATGCGGTCAAAGACTAGGAAGCTGTTCCATATGCAATCGTTGCATTCCGTTGTATTTATTGCAACAGCATCAATCGTCTTGTGTCCTAATGAACTCGCAACACTATTTGCAAAACTTAACACAGCCTGCCTATCCATTTCATCCTTATACTCCGATACAGAACATTACAATTCCATTTGGAGGCCTTTTTCATTTTACACCAGAAGAGCGGGAGATTCAGGAGCAGTATTATAATTTAGTTTGGTGGCGTCGTCTTTGGTCTCTAGCTTGTCTTATTCTTAAGAATCCATTCAATGCTCCGCACATTCTTCTTACTGTGTGGAGTACGGGTTGGGGCTGTATATTAGGGGTTATGATTGGATGGATTCTCATGATCAATACTTATTGTTTTCGGAACATATGTATTGGCTTTCTCTTCATTATTCTTTTTATCGGACTTATACACTCTGGCGTGCCGTGGTTTCTTGACTCGGTTGATGACACCTCCATTATGATATTTTCTACCGCTGTCTTTCTAATAATTGGCTCTTCATTTATTCATATCAGTGCTCATCGATTGAGAAACGGAAACAGACTAAGATTTGTCCTGTTAGAGTACATTGCGACCATTTTTCTATGGAAACTAGCCTTGCTACTTATTCGTTTTTATTTTCGTTGGATTCCTGCTTACGTAAGTGCAACCTTCGTTTCTGGCATAAGCATTTTCATCGGTTTAATCACTCGATACGCTTCTTCACCTCAACTACCAATTTAGACATGATGTATAAACAAAGTGCAGAAAACTTTTTCTAAAATCGTTTTTTTCATACTAATATCAACAGTTATCTAATCGAGATAAAAAGAAAAATAAGGTCGACTGGATTGCATGCTAAGCGAGATTCGGTAAATAGTAAACAGTTCTTCAACATACCTTGATCTGAGTCAAAAAGGCTGTGGATGTGGGTGTGGGGTGCAGAAATGGGCGAGCCACGACTTTTCCAAGTCACAAGTCGCATCAAGTCTTTGTCTTTTTAATAAATATCTTTCTTGTTGTTCGATAAAAAATGTGCTTTGAATGAGGCCTGATCTACACTACAGAACAAAAAGTAAGTCAAAGCGAATTAAGCGATGTTATTGATGCATTAAAATTTAAATCATCTCCGATAAATGACTTAACTCTTGATGCACCAATCACATCGCTTAATTCCAAGAGGGAAAAGGCTGATTCTATGGCGTTAGAGTCATTTAGAATCAACGGAATCACTTGGAGTCAATAGAATTATTCGGAGTCAATGGAATCACTCGAAGTCAGTAGAATCATTGACACAGACTAGTGATTTATCAACGAAGCGACTATTTGTCACACCTAAACGCCTTTTGGAAGAAGAAAATGGAAAGAAAGCCCGCCTAATAAGTAACGAAAAAGTGGCTTTCTTAATTTCGTGATGGTAGGCGCTTAGTAACATTTACTGTTTTTTATATAAGTGAATTTCATTCTACTTTCTTCCTCGGAATGGTTTTTAGGTATGATAAGTAGGTGTTTGAACGATTAGTCACAATTTTAATGGCAAGCAACTGGTTCCTGAAGTATGTGAGTGAGAATCATCCGGATTCGTGTGCAACCGCATTGAATAAATCGGAACGAACGAAATGAGTCTTTAACAATGTCTGTATCTTCATAAAGACCTCAAAGAATAGAACTTTCATCGATCGAAATCTCTTCTTGGATATCTTTTCTATGTCGAGAACATAACATTCTTGAGGGTGTTGGGGGTGTGAATCTTCTTTCACAAGATATCCACATCCACAGGTAAATCATCGAAACATGTAAACAACGCCATATGTTGATATAAACGACTATTTCTGCATGTTTATAATTATATTCTCTTTTTTTATATTCATTGACGGACGAATATTTTTCTAACATTTCTTCAGATTAATCGTCCATATAAGAAATCACAATATATGTTAAATACGATCGTTACCATGGAAACAAAACAGTGATGAATCAACGAATTTTTCTTTTTTCTTACGTTCTGTTTCATGAGATACATTTCATTTTGAAATAGTTGCTCAACAGTTGAATGAAAAAATTTTCAAATTGCGATAAAAACATTAAATCTCAAACTACTGTTCAAATATATTTGTAGTTTAATGTGAATTAGATTCAGTGAAGGAAGAAAAGAAATATTTTGAAATAGATTCGAGTAACTCTAAATTCGCTTTAGTCGAACCATTTTTTTTTCAAAATTGTAGTTCGAAATCGAAAACAACTAAATTATTTGTCTATTGAATTTGATTTTAGTCTTTGATATTCATTCTCTAATTCTTTTCGACTCAGTAGTCTATGTGCGATGACATTTATAATAATGGATTTGCTTTATAAATCTGTGTAGAATGGTAAAACCAATCCGTCACAAATACAAATATACACGCATTACACAGTTTTGAAAAGAAAAAAGAAAATCTTTATAACGTATTGATTTCGCCCATTATATTGTTACGTCGATTTTGACATTTTTGTTCACCGAAATTTCTTTTGCCACATGAAAAAAGTTTCATAAAATTTTTTAATCAATTTGAAAAATCCATCTAATCTGTTCTTTAAGTTGTTTAGTATAAGCAATTAAGAAAACTTAATGTTTCCTTTAATTGTTATTCTTCTTTTAAAGAATTTGATACTTTTCTTCTAATTCTTTTTGTTTTAAATGATTACGTTCAATAGCCACTTTCTTCAGCAATGTCAAAGATCCAAAAAATGTCCACTTTACCTAAAGTCCGCTGAGAATATATGAGACTTTACATACCTTATGAAATATCACGTATATCAGTAGTAATAGGAAGAACAAAATATAAATACTCCACTAGCGGATATTTCTGTGTTTCAGCGAACTTTTCTATTCTCTTCAGGTTTTTTCTTTTCACATGATTTTATTTATCGAGGTGAACATAAGAACATTTGAATAGATTTAAATCAGAGAAATAATCTATTGTATATATATGATGGACAAAAGGATGTTTCTATCTCGCAGTGGACTTTTTTTGTTCTCTTCAGGATTTGTTTTTCATATGAACTGACTCATTCAGATAAATATAAGATAGATTTGAATAAAATCGAGAAATGCATTACATTTATAATAGATCGACTGATTTTCTTTTTTTATTAGCGAACGTTTTTTTTTATTCAAGTATTTTTCTCGAGGATTGAATATTGTTTCTATTTGTATGTGTTATCATCTGTGAAACATGAAGGTCTACATCACTCCAGACCCATCTTTGTAATTCTGCTACTGTGTTGTTTAAGCATTGAGTCCACCATTGTTGAAAGGATAGGATTTTATCATCGCATAAGAGTTAATACTTTTTGAAGTCATATTGTGTCTGGGTTTTGTGGTGATCCATTGACTGTGGATACGAATAGATGTTGATGGTGCTGATCGTGGTATTGTTGTTGTTGAATGACGATCCTGACTAGTAAATACAATACCAAATTTAGTTAGTGTTCTTTGAGATTGTGTTTCTGTTGATAGTTTATCAATTTTTGTTGGTAGATTTGTTGAGGTTCCACCTGATGATGATGTAAGAACAGTTGAAAGTTTGTTTGATGATGAAATTTCCGATTCAGTTTGAATTATTGTTGATGATGTTTGTTTTTCCGTTGGAATTACTTTCGGTTTATCATCATCAAGTTTAAGTTTTAATTTATTTGTCTTGATCAGAACTGAAAGACTCTTAAACCGATTTTCTTCAATTCGCATCAGTTTTAATCCATTATTTAATCAATATTAAATCAAATATAAGTGAAATTAATCATAACAATCAACGCAATTTTAATTTTTTTCGATTACTTTTCATTATAATTCAATAAAGGTGTACAACTTTAATCGACTTTTGATTAAATAGTAATTGATTTTCATCTATTTTTTTCTCTAACTTTTTTTACGTGCATGGGGAAATACTAGATAAACTCTGAAATATTAACCTATATTAATAGCCTTAATGAAAAACAATTAAAATCCATTGAAAAGAGAAAAGTCCTTCTGTTAAAAGAAAAGTGGCGCATGAAGATGGTAAAGTTCCTCTAAAGTCCGCTGAGAAGTAGAAAAGTTGAGTATGCTATCAGTATGGCGTAAATGTGGTGTTCTTTTGATTGACTAGTAAAGTCCTATTCGCTAGCGAACTTTAAGTAAAGTGAACAATTTCGGGGTCTTTGACAGCCCTCGGATGACTAAGACATACATTATTTATTTTTCGATTAATGAAAGTTTATATGCACAACTGTTTCTATACTGTCGTAAATGTCAGAACATACATCTTAGCTTTACTGGCTAATCTGATTATTTTTCGTTACCTTATATATTTGAACATCATTGAGGTTTTTTCGCATATTGAAATCGATCCTTTACTAAACTCAGCTAAAATTAAAGAGGAAATAAGAGAACAGTATGCAGCCACTTTGAATTATAATTTGATCCGATGAAATGCTAAAAAGCTAGAATTTCAGAAATGCATTGCTGAACTGCCTCCGTTTATTCTTTGAGCTATAATAAAACTGCCCAAATTGTAATAGACTTTCTACAGATGTCGATGATGAACATAATTTGAGGTTAACACAATTTCAATGCTCTTTGAGTTTGAGGATACATTCTACCAATTGATGTACAAATCTTTGCTAAATGTTATTTGCAGAAATAAAGTTCTTGTACAAGTAAAATAAAGAGATTGCCAGAAGAACTGTGACTAGACACTATATCTGCATGAATGCAATAATTCTGAGAAAAACCATACTAACGCGACTTCTTCTTACTTAAGATTTCAATATAAGCAGCGTGGCGCAGTGGAAGCGTGCTGGGCTCATAACTCAGAGGGCGGTAGATCGAAACTACTCGCTGCTATCTTTTCTTTTTTATTTGTATCTTTTCGCATACTTACAAAATCTGATGCAATGTGTTGCAATATAGAACAGAACAGACAAAATATTTCACGTTGACTATCGTGTTGTGTATCGTCGTGAAAGACGATCAATTAGGGTATTTGATTTCTAAACGGTGATGGTTTAGTTGACGTAAAAATTTATGTTGTATCATGGCAATGTTTTGAGTTTCAGCTTCTGCAGCGCTGTTGTTTCAGACTTCACGAAGTATTTTGAAATGACAATATAATCCTCCATGGTGCAACTCGTTAAAAAATAATTATTCAATTACATAGGACGAGTGTTTTGGTCAAAGTAGGTTTCTAACTATGACACACTTGTTGTTTTCAGTAGTATATGTACGTGTGGGGATCCCTCTCTCATTCACCCACGCCAACATCCGCACACTTACATCGATACCCACAGATCATAGAGTCCCTTGAATAATGTAAATTTTAACAGTTGATAATAAAGAATAAAAAAAAGTATCGCGAATAATCTCAATACTTCTTTACGTTCAGTGCATCGCACTCCCCTTCAAAATTTCCTGAATCCGTCACTGTGTAAAACATAATTCATCTATTGTTACAATACACAAATATTCTTATCGTTGATATGTTTTGAAAATGATATATTCAACACTTTTTACTTAGTCATCGAAAACTGCAATAAGATAATAGTTGATATATACTTTTGAGATTCTAATGATATAAAAACAATATGAATGTAGTTGGGATTAATTTGTTATAAGAGAGAAGAGAAAATTGTCCCAATTTCTATATCTGAATACTTTAATACTGCTTTTAGATCGTGTTTTGTTTCACAAAATTAATCAGCAGCAATATCTTATTTAAACTAAATAGAAACACAATCAACTGTAACAAAAAGATCAAACTATAGATTTATCCTTCTCCTTTATAACTATTTATCTCAATTTTTTTTCTTTTAATATATAAGATTATTAATATATTATTAATAATATTTATGAATTTCTTTTTTTTCTATTTCTTTACTATTAAATAAAAGTTGAGAAATAATTTTTTATTTATTTGTTATACTTATGTTATGAAAAGTTTAACGAAAGTTTTAATAACTTATTTTACATATGTTTATTAGAAAGAAACAAAAAAAAACAAGATGAGATGATGAACTATATGTAATTATAACTCTAAACTAATTATGAAATTATTCTCGTTTATAATAATATCATAGTTATTAATATGAATATTTAACAAAATTATAGATCATATTTTTGGTTTAAAAAATGAAAACAAAATAAAATCTTGAGATTTCTATTCGACTAAAATAATTTAGTTTACTTATAATAATTCATTTATTTGAGTAAAAACATCTAAATAAAAAAATCTATTATTTTGCTTTTTTTTTAAATAGATAAATATATTTTCTCTATAATTGTATATGTCAATAACACAATCTTTTTTTATTGTTTCTTTTTTGTTTTTCATCATATTTCTTAAAATGAATCAATGTTATATGTTTGTTTCTTATATTGAAATCTTGGCATATAATACAGTACATATATGTCATCAATATTATTTATCCAGCTTTTTCTTTAATGTGAGTTTTCTTTTTGTTCAAAATAAAATTTATATGAAAAAAAACAAAATTTTATTTTATTTTTTCAGTCTTATTTATTCAATAAATAACACCAAAACAATATACAGATATTTTACACAAAACAAAATAAGTGCAAATATGTTCTCAACAACAATTTATATGTTATATTTTATTTTGTTCTATTTCAATAGTATTTTACTAATTCTTTTATTCGAATATTATATTTGATTATGATGATGATATATTATAATGTAAAAATTTAACATAACATTACTCATATGTAGGTTGTCTATTAACACCATATTCAATTCCAAAATATTGTATATCTGGAATATCATTTCTAAGATAGTTTGTATCCATTTGAGACAAATTATTCAATTTTTTTAATATATCATCTGTAAATATAGAATTATCTGTTAATGATAACCATGTATTTACATCAAATAATAATTGACAACAACTATCATCATACCAGAAATTATATTTAATTGTACCAATTAATTGTTTTTCAAATAAATATCCACCTTCTAATGATTCGATTCGATGAGTTATGCCACAAAAAAAATCATTTGAATAAGATGTTAGAAATAGATAAAAAAATTCATGTATTAAATTTACAAGTAATCTTGTATTCCTTATTTTCGTTGACCATGTAGTTTCACCAAATTTTTGTTTATTTTGATAAATCATATAATTTAACCCATATAAACTAAATATGGGTAATTTAATATTATATACATTTAATTTATTTTCAATAATATTTATTTCTTTAATTAATGAATCTTCATTGATATTCATATTATATTTATCATTACATGTTATTAATAATGATGATAAAAAACGTTTTGATTTTATAATAGTATTTTTAAAAAATTCTACATGAAAATCATGGTTCATATTGATAAAATAAACAAAATTATTATTTTTACATTTATTCATATTATCAAAAACAACATCCAATAAATAGATATATGATCGATCACGGTGTTTTATTATAATATTTTCTATTTTTTCATCATCAACAAATAAACGTGAATAATGAAATAAATATAATAGTTTTGTTAAATTTGTATTTTTCTCACATAAAACTTCATGATTATTTTTATATTTTAAAACACATATTTTTAATGTATTGATGAATAGATGAACAATATGTTGGACTATTTTCATGTCATCATTTATATGATTTCGATTATAATAGAACGTTAAAATTTTTCCTATTATCCATTGTAGTAGATGATCAATATTTTCTGATGATAGTTCTTTATATGGTAGAAATATTTGATTATTTAATAAAATTAAATTTGATCGTGGCCATTGTAATTCAATAGATTGTGTTTCATCATATGTTGTAATTTTTGAAATAATATTTTCATCATTATAAATATATTTTAATAAAGTATTAAAATCCATGTGACTTTGTTTAGATCTGAAATAAGAAAAAAAAAGTAGATTTATTTATTTAGATTATGTAGTAATGATTATACTCTTTAAATATAATTTATAATTTGAGTGAGAATGACTGAAAGTAAACTATTGAAAATCTATTTTATTTTTGATTAGAAATGATTAATGCAGAATGCTGAGAACAGTAATGTCTAGAATATTAACCGCTATTCATGGGTACTATGCTCACGAATTAAACAGCAGCAAGACTGTTATGAAAAATGCTCTTAAGTCATGTATATACTAGAAAGAAAAAGTGAATTCACTTAAGATGAATTAAGTCACTTTTTCTAGTGTGTTTGACTCCTTACTTGTGTCAAGTTCAAACAGAGATAACGTGTTATATCGCATACATCTATATTTATAATGAATTGAACTTGTTCTTTTCTCTTTGCCTTTTTTTTCATTGTTGTTCTTTATTGAATTATATATATGTATAAGGCCCCAAACAGACTGAAAAAAATCAGACGAATTAAAACTGAATTAACGAATAAATCGTCTGGAATAGACGATTTAAGTCGGAATAGACCAATCACGTTGCTTTATTCAACTTTAAGTTAATTTATTTTTGTTCAGTCTGTTTGGGGTCAAACACACTAGAGACAACTGTCTTAACTTAAGTCTGAATTAACCAATCACGTTACTTAATTCACACTTAAGTCATCTTTTTGAGATGACTTAAGTCTAAATTAACCAATCGCATTACGTAAATTAGCCTTAAGTTAAGTCACTTTTTCTAGTGTGTTCGACCCCTTTGGCCCCTAATATTGCTTTGTTGACGACTAAGAACAAGTGAACGATATGCTTTCAATAAATGAAAAA